AATGTGGCTTCTCTTTGTCTCTTGGAGATCTTTTTTTCCTCGTGTATTCTGAATATTGTTTATGGGGGATGGTTGGAAGGGCGTGGAGTGGAGATTGTTTTTGATAAATTTATTAACCTTTTTCTCTCCCTCTCTCTCTCTCTCTCTCTCTCTCTCTCTCTCTCTCTCTCTCTCTCTCTCTCTCTCTCTCTCTCTCTCTCTCACTCTCTCGCTATCGCTCTCGCTCTCTCTCTCTCTCTCTTTCTTTCTCTCTCTCTCTTTCTTTCTCTCTCTCTCTCTCGCTCTCTCTCATTCTCTCTCTCTCTCTCTCTCTCTCTCTCTCTCTCTCTCTCTCTCTCTCTCTCTCTCTCTCTCTCTCTCCCTCTCCCTGTCTCTGACATTTGCAAAACACGACAGAAGCATTTATCTTCCGCTTCAGAGGCAGCGATCTTCTGCACTATTGATCCCGCCCGATTAGTGTCGCGGAAACCCCGGTTTTATTAGTCGGTTTGTTCTCGTTTTGAATCTTGCGATAACATTGACCTTCTTTCAAACATTATCAGAAGCGGAAGGTGGATTGAGATCCCAGAGATTGTCAATTTAGACTTCGTAAACGTCCGACGGAACTCGAGACCAGTAGTGGTAAAATCGCGTAACTGATGACTCAGGATGAGATCGCTTTTTTCATGCAATTTTCAGCATAATGTTGCCAACTTCTTCTCCAAGTCGAGATAAAATACGGCGTTTTGCAAAATGTATTCAATGAATCCATTTGTTTTGTTTTAAAACTGTAATATACTGCGTTGTCTCTGTCACATGTCAAGGCGAATAGGCGAATAATTTGTACGTTTCTGCAATTGGGACTTGTTCTGTTTGTCTGTTAATGTCATATGTGTGTGCTCCGTGTTGAGACAACCGTATTATACAGAAAGCGTACAAGATTTTGTGACTCAGATGCTGTACAAACGCCACGAGAGAGGACGGATACGTTAGAAACTGTAAAGACAGTTAACATCCCTATGTGGTTTAAATTAGGCTTTACACTCCTTTTAGCCCAGCAAGGTCGCTAAAAAGAAAATGACATGGCCACTTATTCGATTTGTCGTTGTTTGATAGCAGCTACCTAAGTAGATCGAAAGATATACCAAGTTTTAGTACAGTGTTCGAACCAGAAATATCTGCAATGCAGTCCAACACGACATCAGCTCGGCTCACCATACACCACAAGATATGATGTTGTCATCAGAACTTCTATCGTTATAGCAGTAAGACCGTAGTAAAGGAAAAGAAAGTACATATTGTACTACAATTAAAACCAAATGAATTCGAAGTTCCCTTCATAGCATGTCAGCAATGCGACAAGAGAAATGTACAATTGAGCCTATCTAAAATTTCCAAAGTCCAAACATTATCGAGGACGAACGTGCTCGTAGACAAAAGGTCGTCTTGAACAGTATCATTATGATAAAGGGAACAATTGAAAAAGAAGAAGTGGGAGATAGCCATGTGTACAGGTGGTTGTTTTGAGCATTTGATCGTTACGGAAAATTCGACTGTGTACATGTACTTCGAAAAGCTTCCTCAAAACAGAGCACTGACTGGATTTCTGTTCTCCCTTGTGATTTCAGAAGTCTGTAGTCACATCCGCCACAACCCCACGTCCCTGGGCCCCTCGATCGCACAGGTTACCCTCGCATACGAGGCAAATATTGCCGCAATATCTGCATTTGTTGATTTAATCTGCCCCGCCCTCAGCAGAGCAAACTCTGATCTCCCGTTCTGGGGCCCCGCTGTCAGCGGCGATGCCAAATCGAACTCTGGCAAACAAACTAGGGACTAATATTTATAGACGCCAGCCAGTAAATCATTTTTCTATTGCACTTTTCCCAATCGTTTTTCGAACATAGATGGACGCTGCCTCGTTCCGGCTTCATTAAATACGGTCTCATTTACATGTCATTTGAATACCCCCGGTCGTCTATCTCCTACTTTGACTCATGACTGTTAGTTGGTTTCATTTCATGCTCACACATCCTAGCTGCTGCACCCTTGCCCTGTCATCTTTCTCTCCGTCTTTAGATCCCATGCTGTTTTGGGGGTTGTTTGTTTTTGTTTTAGTTGTTTGTTTGTTTGTTGTTGGGGGTTTTTCGTATATGCTTGTATCTCTGAACTTTCGACTATCTGTATCCATCCGTTGTTCGATGTGGGTGTAAGTGGAATGAAGCAAATTCACGTCCTGAACTAATACTAATATGATAAATGTGTTCGTCTGGTACAAAAAAATCTCTCCAGTTTAACTGAGTACATGGAAGAACGGTTTTCTTCGAAATGTATCTCTATTTGTTTCTCTTCTATCCCTTCACCCTCACCCAGCCCCCAATTTATCTGTCTGTCTGTCTGTTTGTCTGTCTGCCTCCCCCTCCCCCTCTCTCTCTCCCCTCTCTCTCTCTCTCTCTCTCTCTCTCTCTCTCTCTCTCTCTCTCTCTCTCTCTCTCTCTCTCTCTCTCTCTCTCTCTCTCTCTCTCTCTCTCTCTCGCTCTCTGCCAGACAGTGAAAAACTGATATCAAACTTACAGGAAGGAGCGAAACTCACTCGTATAGAGAGAGACCAAAAATAAAGGGCAGCCAACTCGTACATCAAAATCTTGTCAGGCTTAAAAAGCTTTCTGCTATTACACCGACTTGGTTTGGGACATTTAGAACATAACTATGATCTTACTAGGGAGAGCTCGATTTGCGAGGCGTTCTCCCGGTCTTAGCGACCCAAATGACTGTGTTGATAGGTCAGCACACTTACAGTGACAGATTGAAGAGCTTTAAAAAGAGACAGGAAATCAAGAAGACAAAGAGAACACTTTAAACGAAGTAGGTCTTAAGTATTGACGTGAAGATGCCGATATATAGCACTCAAGCCTGATAGTACACACTCAGATAAAAAAGTCAACACAACTGAAAAGGTTCAAAATACCGAAAGAGATTTTAGAGCGTATTTTTAGTGAGATGTCCCGTCAACAGGTGATGGGACTATGTAAATAATTCCTGGACTAAATGTATTTTTATCGTAAACTGTCACCCCGAGGAGTTTCTGAACTCTAAGCTTTGTTTAGGTCGAATGTATTATTTTCGTACTCCCATTTGCATAGGAGAATACACACTTTGCACTGCACATTTGCTCGTTCAAGTGGTGTGATACAATTACATTTCAGTAGGTGAACAATGGTAGTCGGTGGGTTGTCACCACTAAGTGTACTTCCTTCCTGTGTATATCAACACCAGTGTGTCGTCATTATCTCCCAACAGCACTGACCGACAGTTATCGTGCTGGTATATTTCCAAATAACTAAAACATGAAAGGCAAACAATCATGCAGCACTATCGTCGACGAGAATTCCAAGTCTCAAATTCGAAAATTATGGAACAATCATAATAACGAACCCGCTTTGAGCCCTAAAAACCAGGCAGACAACATTTAAAAAGATTTAACGAACAAATAAATACGTAAATAAAAATTGACCCCCCCCCCCTGTCTGCAAGTGACGTCACTAGGACAGAGCTCTATTGATTGGTCCAGCGCAACAAGTGATTTATGAATCAACCGCAATCAGCTGTGAAATAATTCATTATCTACACGTACACTGCTCTGATTTTTAACCAGTTCCTTGCTAGAACTTTCCTTAAAAACCGGAGTCTAAAACTGGCCTTATCGCACTGCGTGAAAGGCTATAACGAACCAGGGAAATACAATTGTCCGCGCGAATAGGTCCGCCAGACCCCCCGAGTAAATGCAATTATTATCTCATGATAAGCGCCAATGTATTATTAGACAGAGCAATGCGAAAAAGAGAACCATTCTGGGTTGATATGCATCTTTCTGACAGTCTCTCTTTCCCCACTCCAATCTTTATAAATTCTCTCTTATCTCCCTTCGATGCGATTCCTCTCTCTTTCTCTGTCCGAGGTTACGTTCTTCTCTTTCTTCATGCTCTCCTCTCTCTCTCTCTCTCTCTCTCTCTCTGCCC